ATTGTATATGTGTATACCACATCTTCATTCATTCATTTGTTGATGGATACATAGATAGTTTCCATTTCTTGGCTATTGTGAGTAATGTTGCAATAGATACGGGAGTGCAGCTATTTTTTCTGATATCCTGTTCTCATTTCCTTTCAATAGCTACCCAGAAGTGGGATTGCTGATTATATGTTACATCTGTTTTTAGTTTTTTGAGGAATTCCCATACTGTTTTCCATAGTGACTGTGCCAATTTACATTCTCATCAACAGTGTATGAGGGTTTCCTTTTCTCTACATCCTGTCTAACACTTCTTGTCTTTTTGATGATACTGAATTTGCATTTCCTTAATGATTTATTCAGAGTTGAGCACCTTTCCATGTACATGTTGACCATTTGTATGTCACCTAAGGAAAAAATGCTGTTCAGTTCCTTTGCCCATTTTTTAAATTGAAATTGTAATTTTTGCTATTGAGTTATGTGAATTTGTAGCCCCTTATCAGCTATGTGATTTGCAGATACTTTTTCCAATTCAGTAGGTAGGTTGCCTTTTTATTGTGTTAATGGTTTCATTTACTGTGTGGTTCTTTAGTTTGATTTAGTCCCACTTGTTTATTTTTGCTTTTGTTGTCAAAAAAAAAAAATTCTTGCCAAGACCAATGTCAAGGAGCTTACCCATCTTGTTTTCTTCTAGAATTTTTATGGTTTCCTGTCTTACATTTAAGTTTTTAAACCATTATGAGTTGTTTTTGTGTAACATGTTAGATGAGGGTTTAGTTTCATTCTTTATGGAGCTGTCCAGTTTTTGCAGCACCATTTATTGAAGAGACTATCTTTTCCCCATTGTATATTTTTTACTCTTTCATCATAAATTAAATAATATATATGCATGGGTTTATTTCTGGGCTCTCTATTCCACTGATCTAGGTGACTGTTTTTATGTCAGTATCATATTGTTTGATTACTATAGCTTTGTAATATTGTTTGAAATCTGGAAGTATGATGCCTCCAGCTTTGTTCTTCTTTCTCAAGATTGCTTTGGCTATTCAGGGTCTTTTTTGGTCCCATACAAATTTCAGGATTGTTTTTTCTATTTCTGTGAAAAGTGCCGTTGGAGTTTTTCTAGGGATTGCATTAAATCTGTAGGTTGCTTTGGGTAGTATGGACATTTTCACCGTATTATTTCTTTTGATCCATAGACATGGAATATCTTTCTGTTTATTTGTCATCTTCAATTTCTTTTACCGATGTTTTATAGCTTTCAGTGTATAGATCTTTCATCTCCTTAGTTAAATTTATTCCTATGTACTTTATTTTTGATGTAGTTGTAAATGGGATTATTTTTTAATTTCTCCTTCTGCTAGGTTGTTGTCAGCATGTAGAAATGCAGTTGATTTTTGTATATTGACTGTATCCTGCACTTTTATCAAATTTGTTGACAAAATAATACTTTATCATTATATTATTTTCTGAGTGAAATCATTCACTTTTGATTTCCTTGTTTTTCTGTTTAAGTATATGGCCTTAAAAAAAATCCACCTATATATTTGGCTTTTAGAGTCCTTGGCCTTCTTTGATCTGAAAGACCACATATATTCTCAGTAGACAGTAATTTTAATGATCAAATGGGAATGGAAGAATTAAACTCTTCTTCCAGTTTGCATCGATGAGGAGATTGTAGCATTGGTTACTTTTATTGATGCTTTCAGGGATCTGAGGAGAGAGACATACATGTTAGGCCACCCAGGCAAATGTTTGGGTATTATAAAATTCCCAAAGGTTAGTAATAAACAACCCAGGCATCAACAAACCATTTAGGTTATCTCAATTGAGTAGAAATCAACAATGATTTTTCTGAAATCAACAATGAGTTTCTGGAGGCTGGGACGCACATTTTGTAATGTTAGTAAGTTAGGTTTGCTTGAACTTGATTTTTCCCAATTCGTTTGTCTTATATGCAAGTAAAGTAACTTTCAATATTCATTAATGACTTTGAGACAGTAAATTGTTGCTTGAAACATCGTATAGGTCAAAGTAATCTCCAGTGTGACAAGAAACTTGGTTCTTCCTAGGCTAGCCCTTCCCATACTGGGACTGCTCTGATGGGGGCGCTATTTTGTTGTGATAAAGCATGCTGCCTCTGAACTGAAGCCAGACAGTCTGAGATCAAATGTTTTCTACCGCTTACTATGTCACCTCGGATGAGTTATTTGTTTAACTTCTGTGTCTTGGGTTTCTCATCTGTGCAATGGAGGAGAATAGCATATCACAGAGTTGTGGGGTTGACTGAGCAGGGCATTTAGCACTTGGAATAATGTTTAGTACATAATAAACAATAAATATCATCATGTATGTCATTGTGATTTACATATTTGTCAAAATGATTTGAAACTTGACTCTAATAAATATGTAGGAGATACTGTCACCTGACTCCTTGGTTTCTGGCATATAGGCTGTGTGTGGCCAAGTGAAATGAAGGACATAGGTTTGGTGGAGGAAGGGGAGCATAATGCTGAGTTTAGTTCTGAACAAATGGAATTTGAAGCATTTGTGGGATGCAGATCTTGAAATATCTGAATTTGAAGAAGGGAGCGGAGTCGTTGGTGTATGAGTAGTAATTAAAACTATGAGAGATGAATGAGATAACTTTTAAGGATCTACCTTTGCCTAGGTCAGAAACCTGGGGACACTAACTTGTAACGAACAATGCAGAGGTCGTGACAGAGACCCCTGAGAGTTAGGAGGTGAATAAGGGGAGAACAGTACCACCAAAAAGAGAGAGTGATCAGTGTAACAGAAATTACAGGTGACCCTTGAACAATGTAGGGATTAGGGGCGCTGAACCCCTGTGCAGTAGAAAATCCACATATAACGTTTGACTCCCCCCTGACTTAACTGCTGTTGACTGGAAGCCTTACCAATAACATAAATAGTATTTTTAACACATTTTGTATATTATATGCATAATATATTCTTACTGTAAGATAAAGTAAGCTAGTGAAAAAATGTTACTAAGAAAATCATAAGGAAGAGAAAGTACATTTATTTACAGTATTTATTGGGAGGATAAAAAATAAACTGTGTATAAGTGGATCCGCAAGGCTCAAACACATGTTGTTCATGGGCCAACTGTACAGCCATCTGTATAAAGAAGTATAAATGGCTTGAGAATTAATGAGTTGTTTGTGACCCTGTGGTTTTGGTAGAAGAGTGGAGGCCGAAGCCAGATAGTGAAGTTAGGGATGTGATAAGGGCGGAAGAAGACAATACCTGTAGACTGCTGTTTTCAGAAATTTTGATGAGACAGATCTTGGAAACCATAGGAAGGTACAAGGTAAATGGGAGATTTGGGGGAAGGATAGGATATTGATAGGCCGAGAAGGAACTATTAGAGAAGAAAAAGGTTGAATATAAGGAGAGTGTAGAAAAGATGGATTCACACGCACAAGTTGATCAGACTGGCCTGGACCAGGAGGAGGGCCAAACATCTCCGAGGCTAGAGGACAGCAGATGTGCCTATGTATACGCCTTTGAGATGGAGGGAATCGCTCCTCATCACTACATGTTTTCTCCAAAGAAATGAAAGGGGGGAAAGGGCTCAGAGGTTGAATAGGAGTTGTGAAGAGCATGGTGAGCGCTTGGAATAGTAATTGAAGGAAATAGGAGAGGGAGGTTGAAACATTTGTTCCCCAAACGAGGGATTAAGAAAAAATCTAAGCAGTATTTAAGTATATCACTAGCAGTACCGGTACTATGAATGTGTTCTATGAAAGAGTATTGTTTCATTTAATGCAACATATTTAGCAATAGGTATGTACAAAACACTGTGCTGTGTACTTCCTGGGAGATTCAGATGAATACTGACTGTCTCATTCAAGGAAGGTATGAACTGATAGCTTATGTACTATGATTTGTTAAAAACACAGATATTTTTAATAGCCTAGACATGATAAATGACACATAAGCTTCATCAACATACTATGAGGGTTTGAAAGAAGTAGAGATTCCATCAAAGAGGGAAAAATATGTTGGATTTCTTCCAATAGGGGAAGATTTTATGGAAAATACCAACAAAAGGGCTACTCATGAATTTTCTGAGGAAATAGTAATGAAACTAGTATGAGTTTTTAATTTTACAGCAATCATATATTCTTCCTTTTTTTTTTTTTTATCCTCACCCAAGGACATTTTTCCATTTTTTTGTTCAGATAGAGTGGGAGGGAGAGAGAGGAAGACAGAGAGAGAGAGAGAGAGAGAGAAACATTGATGTGAAAGGGACACACCGAGTGGCTGCCACCCGCACGACCAACCAGAGCCGGGGACAAACTGCAACCGAGGTACGTGCCCTTAGCGGGAACCGAACCCGGGTCTTTCTGGACCATAGGCCGATGCTCTAACCGCTGAGCCAAACTGGCCAGGGAAATCATATATTCTTCTATAATACAGTGGCATTAACCAGAAGAGTAGAAATAAAGAGATTCATAAGACATAGTGAATTCTAGTCTATCCAAGGTCTTCCAAATGTGACTGTATTTTTGTGTAGGAAGAGAGAATTCAGTAATCCTTTCCACAAATATTTAGTGAACAGCGCTGTGCTAGGTGCTAAGGATACAGAGGTGACTCCGATACAGTTTCCCACTGGCTCAGCCGACCAGTGTGGCTCAGTTGGTTGGGTATTGTTCTGTGCACCAAAAGTTGGCTGGTTCCATTCCCAGTAGGGGACATGCAGGAGGCAGCCGATCAAAGTTCTGCTCTCACATTGATGTTTCTCTTTCTCTCTCTCTCTCTCCCTTCTCCTATCTTTAAAAAAGGATACAGTTTCTGTCCTCAAGGAGTGCATCCTCTAGTAGAAGAGATGGAAGTGAAAAGAGATAACTTATTTCTATGCAAGAAACGATATAAAAGTGGTATATATGAGTTAAGGAACTTGGGGCTGCCGTGGAAGGAAGTATGAATAAGTGATTATGTTGCTATGACAACAGTTTTTTCTTTCTTTCTTTTTTTTTTTTTAGTTGGAGAACATCAGTTGACAGGCCATAAAGTGGCAGTTAAAATCTTAAATAGACAGAAGATTCGCAGTTTAGATGTTGTTGGAAAAATAAAGCGGGAAATTCAAAATCTAAAACTCTTTCGTCATCCTCATATTATCAAACTGTAAGTATGTTTGTACCCAGTAAAACAAAAGAGAAACTGTCTTGAGATACTATTTATGAATTTATAAATAGTTGTTTATTTTTAATTAACCTTTTATAAACATACTTTTCATATTTATATTGAGCAAGTATTAATGTATTTAACCTCCATCAATTCTTCATTTGCATATTTTTGGTTTAAATCGAAAGTTACTGTTTCAGAATTGGTACTGTTTTCAAGTAATGAATGCAGCCTTGGAAGTTGACTCACTTTAAAGTTCTTTTAGGAGTTTGATAGTCCTAGATTCATTTTGTTATTTTTTTTCTAGTCAATTTTCATGAACGAATCAGAGTATTTTCTCTTTAAAAGTAACTGCTGGTAGAAAGTAACTGGTGAAGATTATCCACCATAGTATATTATTTGCGAAACACCAATATTACTTTAATTACTGACAGTAAAGCTCTTAGGAAGGCAAATGTATTTTGGGGGGATAAGACAAGTTACAAACTTAAAAGATAATTAAATATTAGAGATGAATACATAAGCTAATTAATTAAATTGAAAGATACATAATTTAAAGTTAACTAGACCCATAAAAAATTTAGACATTCGATATACAAGTGTTCCTTTAAATCATTTGAAGTTGTAGTTTAGTGTGTACTAAGAAAATGTGATATGCTAAAGACTGAAAATTGTCTTTGTTTTTTATCTTAAAGCTTGGATAGAGTTTTATAAAATAGTATTACTCTTATTGAGTACCTGATAATGGCTAGGAATTATATTGAGCATTTTATATATGTAATTTTACTTTATCCTCATGGTAAGTCTATGTAGGTATTAGTATCTTCATTTTATAGGTAAGGATATTGCCTATAAGGATATGTAGAGAGTGTTGGCAACTTGTCCATAATCAGATAGCTAGTAAGTTGCAGAGCTGGTAATTGAGTGCATATCTGATTCCAAACTCCATGCTGTTAATATCTATTCCAGTACTCCAGTCTTCACAAAACTGACTTATATAAATCTCTTTTAAAGGAAAAATAAATGTGTGGATTCCTAGTTTTACCTAATTATTTTTAATATATAGTCCTGCATAGCATGGTGATGTTTTGGCCAACGACGAAACACGTGTACTACATGGCCCATATGATTATAATGGAGCAAAATTTCCTATAAGAAGTTGAAGATGTGTTGTTCAGGAGGAATGTTTTGTCTCTGATGGGAGCAATGTCTTTGGGGCTTGGCAGTAGATTTCTTCTCATCCACAGCACCTCAATTTTGAGTGCACAGATTATATCCCAGTCATTAGTCACTGACCTGTTCAGCACAGAGGAGCCTGCTCCCCTAAGCACTACATATTTAGAGGGTGCTACAGCCCTCCCAGATCTAGCTTGCTGGTCTTCAGAGTGCATTGCTGTAGATTCTTTGTTGAGGACCTGAAGGCCTGGACATGGAGATAGGTTCACAGGAGGTGCCCTAGCAAGTATGAAGTGCCACTGCCTTGTTAGTAAAAGCCCTCTGGGGTGGGAAAAGCTACCTGCCCCTGCACTTCGGAAATATTTTCAGGTTGTAGTGATGTAAGGCGAAGACAAGTGTTATTTCTTCCATCAATTCAGTATCAACTCTTTGTACCAGAAGGGGTCAGTGGATCCAAATGGAACCAAAATCAAATTTCCAAAGTTAAAATATTGAATCCTTGGTTCTATGCTTCTTATATTTCTTTTCATTTATAGGTTGCTCCTCCATCTCTGTTTTTTCTTTTTTATGAATACCACAAAATGTCTTGCCCTGGCCTGTGTGGCTCAGTTGGTTGGAGTGCCATTCTGTACATCAAAAGGTGGCAGGTTCGAGTCCTAGTCAGGGCACATACCCAGGTTGCGGGTTCCATCCCCAGTGGGGGCGCGTGCAGGAGGCAACCAATTGATGTTTCTCTCTTACATTGTCACATCAATGTTTCTGTCTACCTCTCCCCCAACCCCTCCTTTCCTTCTCTAAATATCAATAAATATATTTTTTAAAGAGCTTTAAAAAAAGAAACAAAGAATTAAATATAATCTCCATGTGCTTATAGCTTTGACATAATTATGAAACCAAAATAAATTTACAATTTAGGTACAACTGAAACAGTGAAGTGAATGAAGTCCATAGTATCTGTAGTCTAGTGTGACAAATAAGTGTTTTGCAGAACCCAATCACTGTTAGTTAAATAGTAGAACTAGCAGAAGGAGGTCCAGTACTATATTTTTATTTTGCTTCGAATAATATCATTGCAGAGAAAGCCTGTTTATAGAAGTATACTCTAAAAGAAAGCAGTATTAATGCCTTTGAGGCTTTGTTTGCTTGTAGTCCATTATAATCAGAAATTATATTTAGCCTAAACTTTGTTACTGAACACTTTTTGATGCCAGTGTTAATGGGGAACAACTTGATAAACCTGTTGGTACACCCTTTATGCTTCATTACAAGACTAGCAGAATAGCTGTGGTAGGCAAACAGTGGCCCCCAAGATGTCCTAATCCCCAGAACCTTGAGTGTGTTACATTACATGACAAAGGAGAATTAAGTTTTAGACTTGTCAACATAAGAAGGTCCAAACCTGTAGAGAATTTTTATAAAAAATGGAGTCAGAGCATATTCCCAGAAGCAAGATCTCAACAGACTGAAAGAAACGCTTCTGAGAGAACCAGTTTGAAGTTTCTTTCATGCATTTGAAATTAAGGAGGGTCACGACGATTAGGTTAAGTAAGGAGGATTACATGAAGGTGGGAGAAGGCAAGGTAGGAATTGGACTACAGTAAAGATTATGTGCTGTCTTAAGGGTGGTCATGCTTTAGAAGGAGGGATCTGTAAGGGGTATTTCAAAGGTATGTTGACCTAGATGCACAGAAACAATGGATAGGGCTTGCTTAAGGCAAAGATAAGCCTTTAACTAAAGAAGTTATATGCCTGGGGCGTGACTACCCACCTTGACCAGTTAGGAATTTATGATCAGATCTCCCTATGAGGTTATTTTCTATAGAACCCCATTTTTGTCCGCAGATTTAAGGTTGCTAATCAGCTGACCTTAAAATAGGGAGATTTTCCTGGATTATCTAGGCAGGCCCAATGGAATCACAATGGTCTTTAAAAAGTGGAAGGGGGAGTCCGAAGAGTCAGCAAGGTCAGAGGGGTAAGATGTGAGAAGGACTCACTAGCTGTTTCTGGCTTTGAAGATGGAGGAGGGGGGCATGAGATGAGGGATACAGCGGTCTCTCGATGTTGGGAAATATAAGGATTTCTCCCTGGAGCCTCCAGAAGGCAATGCAGCCCCCGTGACACCTTGAGTTTGGCCCCATGAGACATGTGTCAGACTTCAAACCTGTAAAACTATAAGAAAATATATGTTTGTTATTTTAAGCCACCACATTTGAAGTATGGAAACAATAGGGAAACAGTAGCATTCCTGAAATGCTTCAGTCAGTGGCTGATCCTCCTATTGCTGGGATTTGGAATGTGCATTTAGTCTTGACTCTCACTAGCTATATTTACTGCTAGTGCACTGTTGCAGATTGGTATGTTCAATAATGGGGCCCATTCAGTGCATCGTCCCTACAGCACAAGTAAGCCACTGACTGTTCAGAGGAAGCTTTTCTTGGGTTTGGTGTGCCATTGGGTAACCTGTGATGACTCAGTTCCCAGCCACTGCCATGGAAGCTTCACTCTAACAGTAAGCTTCAGTGTTATTTTGTCTTCCCTTGGAGTCCATGTGATCATAAACATAAACAAGAAATGAGGCCCCTGAAATGGCATGGCAGTACTTGATTACAAGGTATTATCTAGGACCTATATTTTAGATGATCCAGAATATGTATATATAGGATTTTTAAGATTACCATAAGAATTAAAATACAACCTGTGAGCCCCGTGACTCATGTCTCTGGTTCTCTGTTTCCTTGACTTTGAAATGGGGACACCTCACGATGTTGTTTGAGGATTAAATGTGTTTGCACTGGTATAATGCCTAGTGTGTGACGTGCTTTGGCCCAAAGCAGGAATTGGCAACCTATGAGCTGATTCCAGTTTCCTTTCATGATTCTGAGTGGTTTTCAGTTAACATATATCATTCATATGTGCTCTTGACTTTGTTGGTAGCAACTTTCTTCTAGTTCTTGAGTGACTTCTGAGCTACATTCTTTGTTCTTCGGTGATGAGTGGCTACTCCCTGTAAGAGGAGAAAACTAGGAAACCAGACTAACAGTCTCACGTCCCAAAGTGAGAAGGGAGCGAAATCTATGTATTTACCCTGTTTCTTGACCTCCTTGCTTAGAATGCCACCCTGAAGGACCCCCAGGAAATTTTTCCCACTTAGGATATGAGTCCTAGTTTCGGTGCTGTTCTTACCACCAGATCAGATTTTGTCAGGAGGCAGTTGCTGTTGTCACGAGGATTTATTTTTGATGTCATATCTACCAGTGTTTGCTTGCCTCAATTTCTATAATTATTTATAATTGTTTAATTTTGCTTTGACTCTCTCATTCTGGTTTAGAATTATTTAATTATTTGCTACTTTGTTTTGTTGCAGGAGTTATAGAACCTTCCTAGGGTTGGCAGAGGTGAATGTGATGTTTTAAAGCTCTGGCTTCCTGCCTCACGCTTAATCCATTCAGCAACATTGCCTCTTCAATTGTGGATCTGAATTAAAAAGGAAAAAAGCACTCTCATGAATTCTTGCTACAGAACAAGCTTATTGACACAGACTCTAACAGTGTTAGTGATTTAAACGAGGAGAGTCCTGATCCTTGTAATTTTGTTTGTTTTGTGCAGTCTCGGACTAGCTGCCAAGTGTAGTTTCCTTGTTGCAGAATGGGCCTCTAGAACTAGCAAGGAAGTTTAAAACCGAAATACCAAGAATGAAGGGTATTTATTTGTTGCATGGTTTCCCTATTAACTCAAAACGGGGGGAAAAAACTATTGGAGAAAATTAAGAGGAGTAAACAGGATTGAAAGGAAACTCCAAACTAGAGTTTGTTGGATTCATTTTT